GCTGGTCGCAGTCCCAACATTATCAGAGTACATTTCATTGTTGTCCTCATAATAACTTGCATCGCAATATTCCCTAATCTACCAGTCTATGCCAATATTACTACACACACACAGTGAGAGTTACAACAACAAAAAGTCAATACAATAAATGCTAGTCAATCAATCAGTCAATTCAACCGCTCCTTAGGCCCCACAGTCCGAATCCAAATCTCCCCAGGCCGACTAAACACACAAAAAAAACATCAGCAAAAACCCTCCCACCACAAAAAAAACAAACCTCTTCTCCCTCAAAATCCTAAACACAAGCCTACTATCCCGATCATTCCCCAACGAGCTCCGCACGCCTCCACACGAGGCGGAAACGCCCCCGGCCCGCACCGCTCCTGCAGATCAGCCAGACTCTCATTCGTCCCCTCCGTCTCCACCACCACAGTCCCATACCACCCCGGATCCACAAACAGCCCATTCGACTCGGGTATCGCAATCCGCGCCGCCCCCCGCGACCGCAGCACAAACGACGACCGGTGCACCCACCTCACCACGTTATGGTACGTTCCCTGGGGACTATAGAAGGCGCGCACGCAGTCAGCAACAGAATAGAAGTGGAAGCAGGCAGGCAGAAGCTCACGTTTCGGTGCGCACTCTATCTTGGAGAAGCTGCAAGTTAGCAGCGATCTCCTCCCCCCATGGCGCCAAGTCGATGCGCACGATGGGGTTGCTCGAGGCCGGCCCCGTCCTAACCACGCGGTGGAAGTACGAAGGCGAGAACGCTAGCGTCGGCAAATACCGCGGCAAATCGCCCACCGCCGAGTACGTGTAATCCAGATCCTAGAACGATGCGTATGAGCTAGCTGCTGATTATAACGGAAAAAAAAGAGACGACAAACAATGAGATAGCTCCCATCCCACACTAGACGTCCTACATTTCCCTCGTCGCCCACCGCGATATCCCATACCACGTCGCCGACGCGCATGAGATGCATTACGCCCGCTCGCTTGAGCTCGGCCTCACACTCCAGCACACTCGCGTCGCTCAACCAGTCCCCGTCCGGACTCGGTACAAAACACCTCAAGAGCGGCGCCCGGCGCAGCCTGAACAATGGTGACTTGAAACCGTGATTAATCGGGGTCGGGGGGCGATGTCCATGGGTCGAATACGAAAAGGTAGGTGAAGGCGCCCGGCTCGAAGCACGCGACCGTGTACGCGACGACGGGCTGTGCGCTGTAGAGCGTGAAGTCTCCTTCTCCGCCTGTGCGCGCAACCGAAGGACTACACGCGTATACGAACGCGTCGCCGCCGTAAGATGTTGCATATCCTCAACAAGTGCGCGCTCCCGCCGACTCGCGTGAGTCTGCACGTAGGTCTGCGCAGTCCGTGCATACTCGTGTGTCGGCAGAGTGACGCCTCGCATGTAATGGTACAAGTCCTAATGGAATTTATCAGCCATCTATCCTGTCACAAGCAGGTTGACCCACCTCGAGTGTCAGAACCAATGGTTCGGTGGAACCCCACAACCATCTCGAGTACCCTACAGTCTTCAGGTACCTTTCCAGAATCACTTCCTTTAGGTCTGCGTCACCCTTTGCGCTGGTCACACTCCTGATCTTCTTTGTGACGCTGCTCAGAACCAGCCATTCGTAGAAGGACAGATACGGAAGCAGCGCCGCAAGAATGCCCGCATGGGAGAGGAACACGTCCAGAAGGAAGGGTTCTGGAGGTCGATCCTCTTTGACAGGTAATGCCGCAAGGGCCTGGGGAGGCGACTTTTCCAAAACATGGCCTCGACGTACACGCTTGTAATCTTCAGGCGAAGGAGGTGTCGGAGGAGCGCGTGGCGCAGGCGGCGGAGTGACTGGACGTACAACTTTGGGCGTAGCAGCTTCTGGAGTAACAGGACGTGCAGGAGTGACAGGACGAACAACCTCGGGAGTAAACGGTCGTTCAACTTCTCGTTCCTTGCCTTTACTCGGACTAGGTTTGGGAGGAAGCAGCTTCACGCCCTCTACCTTGGCAAACGGGTCGTCCGCAAAGAACGGCACCTCCCGCGACTCCTCGGGCGTCACAGGACGCTGTTTGTGCAGGCGACGTGATACCATGGACATTGATGTATCCGATGGCGTACGCGATGGGGCCTTTGAGTGGGCGGCCCGCGGTGGAGTGGTATTCTGCAGGGAAACAGGCGGGTGTGTTTCCATACGAGCTGTCTGCCCGGGCGCGTGACCATTGAGACTGCCGTTGGGGTAAGCGTCACGCGAAGGTGGTCGAGGAGCATCATTGTTCGTGGACGAAGCACCGTTGCGATGCCGGGAAGAGAAGCAGTGGATGAATTGAGGTGCTGATGCACCGCGACAGGGGGATGGGAATTCTCCAATGGCATGGAGGGATATGGATTCGGAGGAGGAGAAGGGTATGTAATTTGGCGCGACCTTGGTTGAGAGTACTCTGCCGGAGGAGTAGGATATGAGTTTGGGTATGGATGTCGGTAAACGTGCTGCTGCTGGGGAGGAGAGTTGTGAGGGTATGTATTCTGGCGCGGCTTGGACTGAGGCTGAGGAACGGTCGTCATTGCCGCAAATATGAGCGGCTTTCCTCGCGCAGGAGCAGCGAGCGAGCGCTGACTGTTTGACTTGCGAGGTGGGCCGTTCATGTGGTAGGCGGTAGGAGACATGGTCGTGGTAGTCGTGGTCGACATGCTGTTTGCCTGAGAGATGTTTTGGGGTATTACGGCCTGGGAGATCTCGGTCTTTATAGCAGAGGAAAAATTAGCGCGAAGGGCGTGCTTGGGTGACGTCAAAAACGCACCGTGTCTGATCGGGCAAGAGGTGGCTCAAGGTCCGCTGTAGAGTCAAGCTGAGCAGGCGAGATAAGTAAAGGTTGAGTGACGGAAAATCGCAACAAAGTTAAGTGCAAAACGCGTGGACTATTACGTCGGGTTCGCGCAGATCACCGACCGTGAAGTCTAACCGCGCATGTTCAAGTGCCGGACAAGGGGACACCTTAAAGGAGGATGGCTTGAAAAAAAGAAGAAGTATCCACTTACCTCGTGTGGCGCCCTGCGCTGTGGTGGACTCGCGGGGGTTGGTATACGCGGTTGGTGAGCATTCACAGATACATTGCGATCCGGCGTGGGTATTGGTCGGGCCTTGGGCGTAGAAAATAACGATTCGTGCGGAAATAGCGGCTTTTCCGGATCAGCAGGCGGGAGTACAGAGGACGAGGGAATGGACACAAGCGCGGCTGAATGATCAGAGACCTGCCCTGACGTCGCCGTACGTGAATTGTAGGTTTCCGGAGGCACCACTCGGTTGGAAAACCGGCGACTGGGGGGAGAGTCGACTGGGGAGGAACGGACGAAAGCAGGTCACTGGGCTCGCGTGGCGGATATATGTTTGGAAGAGGTTTGTCCCTTTTGGATGGAGGAGGAGTTGGTGCGTCATCGCCAAATGCTGGCCCCAGCGTTGTCGTCTTCTCGTATTGGCCCTTGCAGGCGGCCGCCAAGCAGGGGGTGCATTCGTGTCGCCAAATGCCGCGTCGCCCGACGTCTCCTTCACGCCGTATTTGCCGCTCTTCGTCGTCGCGAGAGATGTCGACGACGCAGCAGGCCCTGTGACGTTCCTTCGCGCTCCTGACGCAGTATTTCGCGGATGCGATATTGATTCCCGTTTTCCCAATGCCATTGGGCCCGACACGATCCTAGACGTCGTCGGTGATGGTGGCGCAGCTGAACTGGCCCCGAACCGTGCATATAATGGGGTCGGCGCCGAGGGAGGAGGAGCTGCAGGGGCGGGTTTAGGTGCTGGCTCCTGCTTGGACTTTTTGCGAAGGAATCCAGCCATCGCACAAGGATATACTCGTCGTCGTCGTCACTATCGTACACGACGAGCTCAAGGCCTTGTCGTTGTCGTCGTCGTCGGAGAGTTTGTGAGAAATCGTTATTGCTTCCGAACCGTATGTTCCTAAAGGCACATGGGAAAGGACTGCCGCATTGGGATGCCATTGTTCCTTGCACAATGACGAAAGTGGTGATGTTGGGCGACATGTTTACGCTGGAGAGTCGTAGAACGAACAAAAAAAGGGCGTCTAACGTAAGTAGACCTCGAACCAGCCAAGCTGTTCTCAACGCCACTGATTGCCGTCTTTCTATTCAATCTGTCCGGGAAACAGCGAGCACCTCCGCGCCTCCATTGACTCCATGGAGATGAACGTCCGTCTTCACGCTGGAATGTCTTGTAACTTTCCAGTACAACGATTGCCTCTTCAAAGGATAACTTTCCGGCCAAGAACCCAGATCAGATTTCTTACACTGTCCTCGATCCTCGATCCTCCTTCACTCAGTTGCTAGATCTTCCTCACCATCATGACCTTAATTAGTCTTGAACTAGCTGCACCATCCGTTACGACAGTCTGGCTACTTTAACTCGACGGCGCCTCTCCTGTAGTACGTAGATCCCGATTGTGTACCTTCATCTCGCTAACCCGCGCAGCGCGTCAATCTCAACGCCGTCCATGTATCATAACGTGCACGGACATAAAACGGCGCCACGCTTCTGCGGTCGAGATTTGGAGCTTTAACTCGTATTCAGTATAATTGTCGTTCTCTATCGCAGGCATTTACCTCTATCAAAGGGTGTGTTAAGTTGAAGCCTCGATTTCATGAGACTGATAAGCTCCTGAGTTGCAACTTGTATAGGCTGCATGCTCCGTGACGAAAACGGCCACGACGCAGACGCCACGGCAACGTGATATTACAAGTAATTCACGCACGCTAAATCAAACCGCTAAAAAGCGATCATGAATGGACAGTAGGACGGTAAGTACTCAAAGACGCGAAGAGTGGCAGAACAAGCGCCACGTCACGCGTCGATGCACGTGCCTCTTGCAATTGGCATCAATGCCACTACTTACAAACACCCCCGAGCAGCGAGAGATTTACTGCGCCACCCTATTTGACTGGAATGAGAGAAATGTTTGCCAAAAATGCACATCGACGGATCATCATTTCCCTCTAGCCGACTTGAACGACTGACCTCGTCATAGACACCTACAGCATACTAGTGACGCGCTCTACCACTGAGCTAAGAGGGATTCTCTAGATCGCAATGCGCCTATTAGACTCACACTCAATAATTCGAAATAACGCGAGATCGATTGTACCTCAAAATCACCTCCTCTATTCATGACGGCCACGACGACGTCGAGCGCGATGGCCAGCGACGCGCCACCCGAGGAAATCTCGCGGCCATCTCTCGACGGCGGCAGCCTGTACGCCGTTCTCCTCTTCCGGGGCGACTACACCACCTGGGACTGGGCCTTTTTCGTACCCGATGCGTCCAAGACACCCGTTGGCGCCCTCGGATCCCTCTTCCACACAACCCAGGGCATGGCGGGACGATGGGCCTTTGCCATGGAGAGCGCGACAGACTTTCTCCACTGCGCAGAGGCCGTGGCTATGGTCCGCCTCGCAGACCTCCACGGCCTAGGGAACTTTGCAGACGTTGTACAGGAGCTCACAGCCGCGTTCAATACGGTCGACACGAGCAATATACACCCCGTCGAATTCAGCTCGCGGCTCTGGTTCATCGAGGCCATCTGCGTTTTGCATGATTGCGGCTTCGTCACCTGCGACGATGCCTGGCTGCTAGAGAGGGAGTTAAAGCGCTATGCGTTTAGCGCCATGGATTCATATCTCGAAGGCGGAGGTAATGTTTCCATCGGTGCCTTTTTTAAAATCAATCTGATTTCAGGCCAGGTTATAAGTTGTTCAAATCAGAACACTGCTCATAGCGGATGGTCTGTTCCTATCCTCGTTTCGTTCCGGCTATCTGATATCCCTGTTCGTTCTAGCTTGCATCTACCTAGATCCGCTGGTAATTTCTGCTACTTACCCCTGCCAGTAGTGTCTGGCGCATATACGCTGGGGGGTTTCTTGTGTGGGCGCGCGCTTGGGCTCGCCCGGTTCCTTACGATGATTGTATAGCTCAGCGGGATATATGCTTTGGCATGGTTTAAATCAAGGATCATGATTTTCAACAACTCGCGTGCCAAGACATCTGATAGACAGTTCACCTTCCTCGCCGCTGCGTTACCCGTTCGACATGACTACACCGTTGGAGCAGAATGCGCGCGTTGACATTAGAAGTCAGCATCAGTCTTCCACCGCGTTTTGGTTTGCAGCCTATGTATTTCTAGCGTTTAGTCACCGGATTCTTGGAAGGTGCATCGGCATTGCTTGGTGGGGCTGTATCACAAGGTCTTAATTTGCGACGGCAGCTGATGTGCTAGCCACTAACGAAAAAAACGCCGTGTGGGTAGCGAAATTTTCGTTAATGCATGCGCGCCAGATCAATATCTGGGCCTAGGTAAGCAGCTTCTTCGTGGTCAGGAGCTGCCTCGTTTAACGGCAGCTCGTTTACTGCTGACAGGCCCTCTTAACGGGTCTCCGACGTGGTTTGAGGTGGCAATCATTCGTTCAGACGATGAGAACGTTTCCGAGGTCGAGAGAAGCCTGCCTGTAGATCTCTACAGAGAAGGACTCGATCGCTCTCTCGAAGAGCGCGACGCAGGACAGTTTTTGAAAGGATTGTATCCAATGGGTTGACGGAAAGCTGAACTTGAGAATACCAGATATTTAATCGTGTGCGCCAGCATGGCGGACAGAAGGCCTGTAGTACGCGGAACCAGGGTATGTGTGGCCGTGTCACTGCTCAACAATCGATGCATAAATTTGAGGGACGACGATGTATGGGTAATTCCTCCGTGTGATCTCTTCGAACATACAGCTTTGATACTTATTGTGATGACGCCAGGTGATATCTTTTGGACGAAGGGAATACATGTCTGTTGAAGGAGGAAAAGGCGTGGGAGAAGCCGCGCCTATATTGGGCTCTCAGGCGTCTCAACATCGTCTAACACATGAGGGCGGTTGCACCTCCAGCACCGGACGGTTTCACTACTTACAACAAAATCCAGTTTGGAGCCTGTCTCGTTGACCACGAACTTCTTCATGACACCGCCTAGCTCCTTCCAAATGTTCAGGTTTCTAGTGGCGCAAGACAGTCTCGTCTCGTCTTGGTCTGTGTCGAATCAACTCAGGAATGTGTAGACATAGCCACCATGTCCCCTATATCCCTTCTATCCTTTTCTGCATTCGCGCTGTCATAGTTCGTTGCTTTCTCTCATGCTGTACCAAGCGCAGCTCCTGAAAACATTGTGGATGTCACCAGCGTCGACAAATTCTGGTACGCTTCAAGTTTCCTCTTACACCCGTCGTCTTATTTACAGATTCCATAGCCTCATCGTACCGCGCACACCGCACACATCTATCGGCGACAGCGAGCACCCGGGCGGGATGCAGACGTATTGCTCACCACACGGACATACAGGGATACCTCCCTGCGGATTTTTGGAAGGAGGGGCCAAGTCGCGTTAAAGTCGGGCAAGGGGAAGAATGGGAAACGATACACTCAATGCATGTTGGTGTTCGATGATCGTACCGTCGTGGGGCTAACGATTTCTTCAATCAGTAACAGGAATGCATAAACTCGAGCAACTCATTCCCAGTGATGCGGGAGGTCAGTACGATTCCAGTGGCGGGTATAGGGGACAGGGGAATCCACAAGGGAGTGTTTGCCTTGGGTACGTCGCCGTCGCACGCTCAGTGCAGCATGTCTTTTTCGCTGACCTTCAATTGCTGTAGGTACAACCACTACGTTGAGCCGCGAGGCCCGCGAGCGTGTATTCGGTGCTGTGATGATCCAGCAGATTGTCCTACGAATAAAGGTATGTAAATTCCATCATGCTTTGGGAATCTCACTTATCTTTGAATGTTTTAGACACATTAGGATTTTCGCGCGTTATAGAGGGGATTACTTTAATTGCGGTGGTCAGAGCTCGATGTGATTTGTATGTTGAGATGTCGAAACGATTCAATGATCATTGGGCCCTGAGGTTCTTCGTTGATCCTCGGTGAAAATGTGAAGCAAATATTGTTTTTCTTGAACTATCGATTTGTAGGAGTTCAGCCTTCTCAAGCGACGAGGCTTGAGCATCCTCGTTGCACACAGTTACCTCTGTCGCCCCAAAATTGAAAAAGATGGTACACAGAATCTCGCTTCGTATAAGCGGCTGACATGTCAAATGTAACTGCACAACAACAAGTGATTCGTTGCTAGGATTGCAAGGTCAAATTGTGCACGATGTACACGCTAAATGCAGTAGTGAACAGTAATGGACGCCTGCCGAACATGATTTGTCCACATTGGAAACTACGCCATGTTTGAGTAAAGTCAAACCGATCAACATGCTCTCACCTTGGCCATGACAAGCAACGCCACACGGTCACCGCCCTGCATCAGGTCGACAAAATCTGCCTCTCTGCCGTATATCCCCCTAGCATGACGGTGACCAGCAGGAATATCATTATCGATATCTTTGGGATCCTCTGCTGTCCAACACACGACGTTCTCCGTGTACGTCTTCATCGCCGGTTAGATTAGAAATAACATGCCACCGTGAACGATCCAAGTCGGGAGGGTACTTCGCAAGACACAGCAGCGTCGCGCTCTTCTGAGAACGCCGAGTCCTTCTCTGTAGATATCCACGGGCAGGTTGTTCTCAACCTCGGAAACCCACCAGGAACGCTGTCATCGTCTGAGCGAATGATTGCCGCTTCAAACCACGTCCAAGACCCGTTACGAGTGCCTATTTTCAGAAACATTCATCAGTATACGAGCTGCCGTCTAAGGAAGCCACATCGAACCACGATGTTCAGGCTCTCCACCCCATCCTTGATCGCAGCTCTCCGTCTGTATCGTGACGGCTTTCACAGACCTGGCATGGGAGGGTACACGCGGGGATACGAGGTAGCACCACTCTGCCATGGGATATGGGCTGCCTTGTCGCCCTTCTGATTTGACTGCGACGTCGAGGAAACGCTCGCTGTGCACTGAGGGCCAGTATTCGGCCATGTCGAGAATGATTTCGATGATCTCGGAGGGGATATCGATAGCAGAGAAGAACAGATTGCGGAGGCGATGAATGTCGTTTTCTGTGGGTACATAGTCGTGCGTGTCGATATCAGGTGCAGAGATCTCCTCTGACGACGACTGACTTGATCCCATATCCTGAGGAAGGTCGATGTCAGGCGATTATAAGCAACGTTGTTGTCAAGGCTTACTGTGGATAACTGTGGTTCTCCGTTCGGTTTCGAAATCTGCAATCCTTGAGACTTTGGTGAATGTGATTTGAAGATGTGAGTCGAAGTAGAGAACAAGATCGAAAGATGCGTCATACAGGGTATTTGAAACGCCCACGTGGCGTCACCATTCACACTAAGTTTACTCGCGAGACGGGCTTGACGAGCGTTGTAAGTACTCTACGAAGGACAGGTTTATACATGCAAAGGAACTTGCTTGTTATCGGTAGAACTACTGCTACCTCGGAGACCTTTGCTTCTAAACACAGGAAACTCGCTTATCCTCAGCTTCGTTGCAAGGATCAGCACCAACAATTATCATCATCTGTACAATGGACTTACCCCAATCGGCGTCAGAACAATTCTCTTCTCTTCGCCCACACATTCGGGGTTCTCGGGCGGGTCCGCAGGGAACACATCCCCAGCCAATGGCCAGTCAATGAGGCAGGCCAATACACTGATGCTGACCGGAGGACGACCCGACTCCCATATTGGCGAAGGCAGCGCGTTCGATTCGGATCTCGAGTCATAGTGGTACTTGGCCGTACTGGGGTCAATCGCATATTGCCAGGCCCCAACAGGATCAAGCTGAAGATCAACTGCATGCGCCTCGCGAGGATCGGTCTTGATGACAGTTTCCGTGCGTTCGACTAACGAAAAGATGTGGCAGTCTCAATGGGTCTTAAAGGTCAGTACTCACTATCGAATGCATAGTTGAGCGGCCCTCGGTGGATAGCGACACTACTGTTAGGGCGACTTTCTGTGGCGGCGGATCAGAGCAGGTCTTAAGCAGAAAGCAGAACAGTATACCTATCGAGATCGGCGACGGTAGAGCGAGCGTAATCCGTCTCTTGCCAGGTGTGATGTATATGCCCAGTAGACCTTCCAAAGG